AAACAAAAATGCTCACCTTAAGCTTATTTTGATCTTATATTATGTGATCTTTATCTCATCTTAGTGTATTTCATGATAGTTCCTTTACTAATTTCCACAACTCGTGATCTTTTTATCATTCCTGTCCTCAATTATCATTCATACATATTTAATTGGCATATTTGGTGGGAATTAGAGACTACAGATTATTATCGCTAACAACTATTTCTGTGCAATCGTTGTGCATATTATAGGAATTAGAACTTTTGAAATGTTAGAGTAGTTTTAACTGTAGGTCAAAACAGACACACGTTGATTTCCAGATTTCATGAGTAAAGGCTACAATATCTCCACCCCCCTCAAGGCTCTGTGTCTGAGGACATCAGGACTGTCTCTGTGTGGTACAGTGTGTGTGTTGTGATCCCCTCCAGTATTCGCTGTCAACATGGCGAGTGTTTGAGGAAGAGAGACTTGGACAGCTGTCCCGGCAGTGGAAGGCATGTGGCCGCCCTCCTGCGTGCCAAATCTCTGTGTGCTATTTATACTCACCTTGCCAGGATCACTTCTGGTGTCTGTTCATTCACGCCTTGCCACGGCAAATGCCACCACATTCAAATGAGTGCCAATTACAAATGTGCTGTTGCTGCCATTCCATTAGTGTGGAAAAGCATCTAACGTTATCAATTAACATGTACAATCTACTGACAACCAGGGCGGAAACATTCTGTATTCAGGGTGTGAGGCTGGTTCTTAAGTTTGGTGTGAACGCGCCTGACCTTGACAAACACGTGTACAAAAAAGTACTTGATATTGCTATGATTGGAGGTGGATGCTTCTAGCTGGTATTGTACATGTTTTTTCGCCACTCTTTTTAGGTCCAACCCTTGTTCAAGAGTTCAATATTTGGCGAGGTATTCATGGTCTCCTGAGGATGAACCCTAATGACTTTAAATAGCCAGTGAAATATCCCAAATCTACTGAATGAATTGGCACAAAGTTCTGTGCAGAAATCAAAGAGGTACAGAGATGGGTCCTCTGAAATGTGCATGCCACACAGCATTACATGAACAAATCACAATGCAATGCAAACACTACCTACAACACTAAACACACTGCCTAAAATATATTTGATCTGAAATAATTCACAGAAACAGTCAAAAGTTGAAAATCGAACGTGCACAGCTCTTTAAGGGCTATTGCCTTAGAAAAGCCTAGAAAGAGAATTATGATGGAAATGTTTACTATTGTAGTTGTCAGTATCACAAGTTAATGGATTCATTATGTGGAGCATAGTGTACGTTATTAATCCTTCCTGACGCAGGAAGCTGATATCAGGTACGATCAAGCCTTCTGTTGTCTTTCTGTTTCCGTTTTCGCCAGAAAAATAACCTTGTTATCAGTAGGTAAATAAAAGTTGGATCTCAAGATAACGTAAAAAACAGCATGACTGTTCTTGGCTTCCGTAGTATTATGACCAATACCTACAACACTACATTTCCATCAGCCTTAGATGTACTCTTTGTTTAGTGCCAATTAGCAAATGTTAGCATGCTAACATGCTAAATCAGGACTCTGAATATGGTAAACATCAGCATGTTAGCATTGTCAGTGAGTATGTTAGCAGGTTATTGTTAGCATTTAGCTCTATGTAGGTATGTTTTGTTGTATATATACAGCTAAAAGAGTAGTTTAAACTTAAGTAGCACAGTGAAAAATGCTTGCTAACTCCATGCTTTTTATTTAATTAATTGAAAGGGGTGGAAAAAGTATTGATGAAAAAAATCATACCCCTCACTTTGCTTTTGTCCTGCAATATATTTGTCTTTGACTATAGTCAACATTCAAAACGTTAACGTTCCCAGATTGTAGGTGATTTCCAAAGGGCATTATGTATGATGTACTGATGTGTTTGTTCATCCTCTCTCCAGTTCTCACAGCGTAGATGCACAGCGACAGAGAAATGGCCATTCCGCGGATGTTGAACTCCAACACGTCGTTCATCATCGTGAGCGGAGGATCTGAAATCTCCTTTCTCGGCAAAGAGGAGAGCAGCCAGGGCTGTGAGGAGGAGAAGGACTCGCTGGTCCAGGCCATGACACCCCATCTGAGCCGGGTGATGCAGCACGGCACTGCCAAACACGTGGTCACTGAGGAGGGGCCGGGGGGGGCCGAGGAGGACCTCTGTGTCTCCATAGTGGCACAGGCAGAGAGTAAGACCTGCAATATGCACCTATGAATGCTGCATGGGATTGATGGGGGGGGGGTGGGGGACAACGATGCATCATAGTACCAGTCTTCTCACGTTTCTGCTTTATTTGCTTTAAAATCCATTCTTTCTCTTTGTAATAATTATCAGAATGTATTTCAACCGGCAGCTTTTATAACATTAACATTTCTCTGACCCAGGAGAAGACTTCCAGGAGTTCAGCCCTTCCAACACACAGTGCCCTTACACCAGAGCTCAGCTGCTCAAAAAGCACAGGTACCTCACAACATACAGTCCCCATTACCATCAGTATGTCTCAAAATTAACAAATCAGCTGCGAGAGCAAAAACATGTGTGAAAAGGAGTTGGAAAAATCCTAAACACTCCATCTGGTACTTGTGGCTGGAAACACATAGAAAATCAAGGTGGTTTAAAGATATAATGTCACGTTAAAACAATACAAAAACGAGTACTCAATATTTGAAGCAGCAGGCTTTCCTTTCTTATTTTGCCAGGGTTCCATATATGCAAATCAAAAGACTTCATAGGCATTGCATTTTTGACCTAAATAAGGGCCTCAAATGTTATTAAAATGTCTTAAATCAATATTTTAAAAGTCTTACAATTGCTAGGACATGGGAATGTTTGCCTTTTTCTTTCTTAAACTTGCAACATCTTTAATAATTAGTAACATCATTTGTTTTGAATCCAAATGCCTCTCGCATTTACTGAACATCATGCAGTTTCAAGAACTGGAATAACTGCATGTACACTTTTTTCTTGCATTTTATTCCAAGTGGCTTTTTAAAAGTCTTAAATCTAATCTACATCTGTACCTGAATCTGTATGAACCCTGGAAATCACGTGTTGTTACTTTTGCATACTATATTCAGACCAGTAATTGGGGGGAAAAAAATGGTGTGTTATGCCATTGAAATAATAGGGAGAATTAGCTCTAATGACATTAAAAAAATGTATATGCAAACTCTAAGTTGTCTAAAAATAACTTATTTTCAGCACGTAGTGAAACCTTCACAGCTTCAGTTTGTAAACCTCAGTTTTTCTCTATATTGCAGACTTCTCAGCAAAGACACTGCCCTGCTGACTGACTCGGAGGACGAGGACTTTGATGGCAAACTCCCGCAGCACCACCTCCAGAGGAAACAGCGGAGGAAAGCCAGGAGACAGAGCCAGGAGGACGGGGAAGAGCCGCCCATCATCCGGGGCCTCTGGGTGCAGGAGATCGATTGGCTGAAATTGGCAAGCAGAGAGATGATGTCATCATCTGCTGAGATCATACCGCCGCCTCCGCAGTTTACTGACTGCAGCCATGGAGACTCTGAGGGCTGTGCAGATGTGTGTGTCCATGGATCAGAGTGTGTGTCACTATCAGAGGAGTGCTACAGATCAGCAGATACAGACGACACCTCCAGCACTGAAGGTGAAGCAGACTCTGAATCAGTTTACACTCTCGAGTCAGACTCATCCTGCCCTGCTGAGGATGGCATAGACAGTTTCGGAGTAGAAGCCAAAATGTCAAATTTGACCTTTGACCTGATGCAAGTGTCCGGTTTTAACTCTGCTCATGCTGAGTGGGACTCTGACTCGACAGAGGGAGTGCAAAGCCTGCTGGGAGTTTCAGGCTACACTGTGAATACACCTCAGTGTGCCTTTGGTTTTGATGACTTGAGTGACACAGTTTTGGACGACCTCAGAGGCAGAGTGACACTGCTGCCAAAGCTCTTTGTTTCACCTTTATTCAGAGATTTGATAAAACAGACTGTGAACGACTGGAAGACCAGCACACCTGTCAATGAAGGACTCATATTTCATCATGTAAGACATCTAATAATTCAAAGGAATACTTTGCCAATAATTTCTCAACTTCTCACCATGTGTTACCTTGAATTAGTACACTGCTTAGTTTAATGCTCGCTCTGATTGGTTAATTTGGACGTTTCAGAGGTTGTTAATACTAAATAAAACACCGCTGCTAAGCAAAATTGAGGGTTGCTAAGAAGGATCAAGGGAGAGAAAGAAAGAAGTTAAAAGACAGAGCGTTGGACGTCAGAGAAATCAACAGAAGACAGGCAGGAATTAATGAAGAACACTTTGTTTTTCTTGCTGGCCTCCATGGTAAACAAAGAATCTCATTCAGATATAAGTTAAGGCTAACTGCTAACTTATTTTTCGATATACCATACTATTTAAAACAATTGTTCATAGGAAGTCTCACGCTTGCCCAAGTGTGCTACTTCTCTGTGGAAAGACTTTACAAGCAAAAGTTTATTTAATAAGCAAGATTTTAGTGAAAATGCATGTGTTTGTAAAGTAGTGAGTATAAGACTGGATAAATTAGCCTTTTTTTTGTAGATTATGCTGCAGGAATTGTGTGAGAGTTTGTAAAGGGATGTTTTCATAAAGTGTTGCTGTCTTTTAACATTGCCAGCATTACTACAATGAATGTATTATTTAATCAATTTTTGATTCATCATTCACTTGATAAATGCCAGAAAAACAAACTTTTCATTAAGAATTCAAGGTGACACAAAGTGAGTATTTGATGTAGCAATGATCACATTTTGGTTGAAGCTTTATGTATTGTACTTTTGTAAATGCACTTTAGAGCAAGTATTTGTCCGTTAATCGAGACAGGAAACACCTGCAGTGGCATCACAGTTTAGGGTGTGGCCCAACTGCATCTGGCTTTCTGATGGTTTTAACTTCTCAGCCCTATTGTCCTTTTGAACTTTTGTATCCCTCAGCAACTTCAGCCCGACAGCTGTCAGTACAGGGAGGGAGAGGAGTACTGTGTCCTCAACCACATCCAGAACGGCTCGTATGGAGACGTGTTCTGTGTGCGGGACAAAAGGACCGGATTCCAATGTGCTGCCAAGAGGGTAAGCCAAGAAAGTGTGTGACTCATATATTTATCATCCAAAATGTCCTTCTCCTCAGCACTGAGGGATTTTAAGGTTTTTGAAATTTAATTCAGCACATTGTATTCCACTGATCTCAGATTCCACTGAGTCACTGCAGCGGGGAGGAGGTGAGCACGTGGAGCGCTCTCAACTCTCCTCGTGTGGTGGAGCTCTTTGGGGCTGTGAGGGAGGGGCCCAACATTGTCCTCTTCATGGACTTGAAGCCAGGTAAAAAAATAATAATATCTTCAAGAGGTCCTATTATGCTATTTGAGGTTCCCTTTCCTGTAGTGTGTTCTATAGGTTTTGTGCATGTAAATGGTCTGGTGTTCCCCCCAGAGGGAGTTTCTCTCCCACACACTCCCTCCCTGCCTGAAATGCCTCAATTAGACTCCTTTGTTTACTTCTGTAACATAATGACATCACTATGAAACACCCACGCTTCTATTGGCTAGCGCTCAAACACATTGTATGTGATGTGACATTTTTGACAAATCTCTAAACGGTTGACCAATCACTACAGAGCCATCCAGCTAACCCATCAGAGCAGACTGGGCTCTGGTTTCAGACAGAGGGTGAAAAGAGGTGCTGCAGCACAGGCAGTATGAGAAAAATAAAGAGCTTTTTGAACATTAAAGCATGGAGACATGTCCCAGTAGAGATACTAAATCCAAATATGAACCTGAAAAGTGACTGACAGGCATATATTTGTGTCCTTACGAAACAGAGTTACAAAGGAAATCAGGGCAGCTAAATCCAACTTCTTTGTTAATCTCATTCATGAATCTAAGGGAAATCATAAACAAATCTGGGCCTGTCTGCAGAACCTAACAGGGAAAGGGCATAAAATAACAAAGCAGCTGGAGATCAATAACAAATTGGAACCTTATGTAAGGGACCAGCGGAAATAGCGGCTATTTTTAATAATAATTTTGTTAATTCTGTGAGGCTGACTATAAACAGTCCCCAAATTGGTCAAATACACTCATCACCTATTGATAGTACACAGCCAGTCTTCTCCCTGACAGAGACTTCTGAATCCAAAAAGACTTTCTTCTTTAAAAAATTCCAAATCAAAAGACACTTTTGGACTGGATTCTCTGTGCTACCACTCTCACAGGGACAATTACTACAATAATTAACACCTCTTTTAGGGAGGGAAAATTCCCAAAAGCCTGGAAGTTAGCCATTGTTGTGCCAGTCCACAAATCCGGGGACACAACTGATGCAAACAACTATAGGCCCATTAGTGTTTTACCTGTCATGTCTAAGATCTCTGAGAAATGTGTAGCTGAGCAATTGACTGGACATCTTAACAGTAGTCCTTTCACACTACACCCCATGCAATTCGGCTTCCGAGCCAATCATTCCACTGAGACCGCAAATTGTTTCCTTGTGGAAAATATTAAATCAAAAATGGACAAAGGAGGCATTGTTGGAGCAATCTTCTTAGATCTTAAGAAAGCTTTTGATACAGTCAATCATCAAGTACTCATTCACAAAATGTCTTATTTAAATGTCTCACCCAGTGCAATAGACTGGATGAGCTCCTATCTGTCAGATAGAGTTCAGTGTGTTAGGGTAAGTGGCGAGACATCACCACCCCTGGGGAATGAACTGGGTGTACCCCAGGGATCTATCCTGGGCCCAATTCTATTCAGCCTTTATATAAATGACTTGCCATCAGTGTGCACTGGATGTGAGGTGCAAATGTACGCTGATGACACTGTCATTTATGTCCATGCAAAAACCAAGGCCCAAGCTGCTGCCAAACTAAGTGATGCAATGGTACATGTACATCAATGGCTTACTGACTCCCAGCTATATCTAAACGTTAAGAAGACAGTCTGTATGTTTTTTAGCAAGACCAACACTATATCACACTGTGAACCCAAGGTCTATGTGTCTGGGGAGGTCATTCAAACAGTTACACATTTTAAATATCTAGGCATTATCCTTGACACTACTCTATCCTTCAAAAAACAAGTGAGAAAGGTAATGCAAATAACTAAATACAATCTAGCAAACTTTAGATATATAAGGAACTGTTTGACAATACCTGTAGCAAAACTCTATATGACTGCCATGATCATTCCCCACCTAACATACTGTATGACCAGCTGGACCCAGGTGAATAGCACAACATTAAGGCCTACCCTATCACTTCACAAACAAGCTCTTAAAGTTTTGGACAGAAAACCTAAGCTATACCACCATTGCAAAATCCTGGACAAACATAACCTGCTCAGCTGGGAAAATCTTTTAAAACACACTGATGCATGTCTCATTTTTAAGATTATAAACGGCAAGGCACCCCCACCGCACTTTTATACAGCAGAACAATTCAAACAGCAGAACCACAAGGTCTGCCCTAAGAGGGACTGGACCTAAGAGGGACTACACAGTCCCCTCGACTGTGTAGTCCCTCTTAGGTCCAGTTCCTTTGGTAAACACTGTTTCTCTGTGAGGGCATCAACACTTTGGAACACAATACCGATACAGATAAGGAATAACCCCTCCTATCATACATTCAACCACTATCATAAGAACTGGCTTTTAAGCAATCAAAAATGTGAACACTTTTAACTGTATCATAGTATGATAGTATTTCATCTGTTTGCATGTTTGTCTGTTCCTATTTATTGTTGTACTGTTGTTCCTATTTATTGTTGTACTGCTATTTATTGTTGTACTGTTGTTGTCTGCTGTATTCTTTTTAATTATGTTTTTATTTATCTAGTCTTGTTGTGGTTATTTATCATCTTGCCAAGGACAACAGTTGGAAATTAGCCTGCTGGCTAATACTGGCTCATTTACAGCAATGTGGATTAATGTGCACTGCCCTTTAAATAAATAAACAAACAAACAAACAAAAATGAGCATAATATGTCCTCTTATAATAAATGACATAATTACTTTGCTGTTTATCTGTAAGTAAATTATGTGTTTCTTCAGCATGTTTGGCCCAGCTTCTCAAAGAAATGAACTCCCTGCCTGAGGATTTGTCCCTGCACTACCTTCACCAGACACTAGGGGCACTAGAGCACCTGCACCACAGGAAGGTCCTCCACCTGGACGTCAAAGGTATGTTTAGGTTTCTAACATGATAGTCTTGTTGGAGCCACAGTGTTTACAGTATTCGGATATGTAAAGCCAGGCAATGTATGTGGTGAAATGCACCACAATTACTCAAGCACTGTACTTAATAGCAAGTATTAGGTATTTTTACTTGAGTATTTTCATGATATGCTACTTTAAACTACTCCATTGCATTTAATAGTCTTCTTTAGACAGTCCTTAGATTCATATTTTACAAACAAAACATATAATACTACCAAAAGAATATAACAAAATTAAATTAATCTCCTGTTCTTCGAGCAATAAAGCAATGTGCACATTTTAATTTATTGAATGAATATACAGTATATATTTGAACAATGTCATGGAAGAACAATGGAACAACTGTCCATTGATATAATGATATAACACTAACTGATATAAAGAATACTATTTTTGTAATACTTTCATTTGATTTTGCTACTTTTTAGTACTTTACTAAACTTTACTTTAATATACTGAACACTTCTTGCACGACTGTTCATGCTCGATTGACAGTGGTGGAAGGTAACTTAATTCCTCTGCTTTAAGCTGCACTCATCAATATTTTAATATGAGCAATGGATTAAATGTTTAATGTGAAAGGCGACACTCATAGTGACGAACACACAGAAAACAATTCAAGACTCTTCCAATCTTCTCAACTGTTAGGGGAATTTTACCATTTTGTTTGTGATTTAAGGCCAAAGATTACTAGTGATTGGTTTAAAGCAGCTTTTATTTGAAAATAAAAACTCATTAACAAAGCAGACGGACTCAATTAGAAACTTGCTGGTGAACAAGAGGAACATAAGCAGCTAAAGAGACACCTATTTGGTTACCAGAAACATGACTCCAAATGAATGACACCGGTGTTCCATGTCTGCTGTACGGGCAACTGTTTGCTCACATAAACATTTTGTTAGGTAAAAATATGTCAGTGTTGTGTACAGATTATTTAGCTGAGCCTTAGTGGTAAAAAGTATTTGTTTAGTATAATGTTATACCATTACATTTATTTATATGTGACTTTACAAACTACGATATTAAAAACGAATACACCTTGGGGTTCTATTATCCCCATTTCAGAAACACTGGTTGATTATATAATAAAAACATTAGAGTGTATGACAATTTAAATACAAACAAATAAAAATAATTGATGAATTGATACTCTACTTTTGTTGTGTGTACTTTTGCTTTTACCTTTACATTTATTTTTAAAGGATCTGATCTTCCATCACTTTTTACATTATTTTGATGGTTCCTTTTGCATTTAGCGTTAGCTTGAAATAGCCATGATAGTAGATGTGGCATTATCAGCAGTTCTTACAGGGATGGGGGGAGCCCAGTAAGCCTGTAGCTGCTGGTTCTACTGTCAGGTGGCATCCCCAGTGTTGGTACCTAATCCTTAACTGACACCTAAGCCCTCAGTAATCCTCACTGAGAGGATTGAAGAGGAGGGGGCTCGCTCAGAATGAGGCCCCTTTGCGTTCACTGCAACCAAAAACAGTTCTCAACCTATCAGATCTTCAATTGGAGTAGCAAAATAATGTGCTTTATTATTTAAAATATCACTTCACGCTAGCTCCAGACCACGATTGGGGTGGAACCCAATGTAGATAGTATGAATTATAAATGATTAATTAGTTAATAAAAAAGAAAATGCACATGCAGACAAATTGTTGTGTTGCTTTGTAAACTGTAGTACATTTGACGTGACGTGTACTTCCATTGTTGGTCCTCAGTGGTCGTCACTAACCGGTCGATCACATTACCACATTCACTGAGCCGCCTCCCTCACACTGGCTTTCTTTAGCTATGGGCCGGACTATAAAGCACTCACAGACAGCATTCAGTCACAGCCATCACACTGACTTGAGTTACTAACATGACTGTTTTGCCTTTTGATGTCATTGTGTAAAGTAATGCTGCATAATTTAACTTACTGCACTTAACTTTACTGCACTGACAGAGAATATTGTTAGCATGCAGTAGAATGCTACTTTCAAAAATGTTAATGTTGTAACTTGCATGAAGCTAACAACTAAAGTTGTTCTTCTCTGCTCCCTGCAAGATATGTTACATTTTTCTTTGTTTTTGTGGCTGTCAAAAAAAGTATTTACTCAAATACAAATGGAAAATAGGACATTTTATATTCAGGGCTAAAGAATTAAACTTATTATTATAGGTAGGATGTAAATATATATATCAAGTATATTATTTGACATGTTAGTTATATTGTGTACTTAGTTGCAAACATTTTAAAGTTAAACCAAAGGATTTCATATAATTCAAATACAATTAGCCTGAATAAAAGGCCTTAAATTGGAAGTACACTCAGCCTTTAGGTCGATCCAGCCTTTCACCAAGACTCGATGTATTCAAAAAGTAACATAAAGTGATCAGATTTAAGCACTTTAATGATGTGACACTTAGGTTACTGATAACATTTTTAACAGGCAATTAGTAATAGTAATGGAAAACATATGTTCCCAACCCTGCTCACCACAGCTTTGACCCCCGTGAACCCATCACTCCTGATTTCTCACTCATCTGTTTATTTATGAGCACCAAATGAAAGCAAGCTGTCACACTAAATCCTGTGTGTTGATTTTATTTCAGTTGACAATGTGCTGCTGTCTGCAGACTGCAGGGACACATTCCTGTGTGACTTTGGTCTCTCAGAGACTTTGGATGACAATGGATGGAGCACCAACACATTCAGGGGTGAGTAAGGTCTAAAAAGTCAGCATACAACAAATTGTACATTATAAAAACCATATCATGCACCTTATCATGACCACGTTATTGCATTTGGTTCAAAAAAATTACACTTGGATAGATTAGGGATGAAGTTTACTTTAAAAATTACAATTGATAAAGATTCACTTTTTGACTGAAAGAAATAAGCAGCTGTTATTCAAATGGTTGTTAACCCATGAACAACATTATGTTTGCTTCCTGTATTTACACCTAAAGGTCAGTCTGACTGGTGTGTTGTGTTATCATGTTCTTTAGCAAGTCCACCAAAATAACAGAAAGTTAAAGATTAATAAAAAGTAAGTATAAAGTCACAAAGTTATCAAACAGGCCCATGTTAATGTTAGTTATAGTTATAAATTTCCCTTTAGGTTGTTCATCTACCCCATAAGCTTGTGTTCATACTAGACCGAGTTAGGCTGGCTGTAGCACCAACATAGCTGAGTGTATTGAGCAATAATCTGTTTCGCTGCTTACAAATGCTTGACATTTTTTCTGAATAACGTAATAAACAAAATTGAAATTAAGAAAGTAATTAAAAAAAAATAATGAACCTTAAAAGGTTATTCAGTCAATACCCTTTTTTTCTGTTTAGATCAATTTACTGTAGATCAGACTTCGATCACCAAAATTGTTTTTTTTCTCACTTGCCTCTCAGGGCTTCCATATAAATTATAAACACAGAAAGAAAAACCTAACATTAAATAAAGCTGACTGCCTACAGCCTCAGAAAGAAGTAGGCCAAAATGTGTCAACAACAGCAGCACAATCCTGAAGACGAGGTCATTAAGAGTTAAAAATATGGAGAGATAAAAATGAATTTGTTGTTTGTGGATGTAGGAGCGGCCTTCCCCGGCACAGAGACCCACATGGCTCCCGAGGTGGCCCGAGGGGATCAACTGTGTGCCAAGGCCGACGTGTGGAGCAGTTGTTGTATGCTGCTGCACATGCTCAATGGATGCCACCCTTGGATACGTTACTACTCCCATCCTCTGTGTCTGCAGGTGAGAGTCTTATTTTTTATTAATTAGAAAGGGTGAGGTTTACATTCTCAAGCTAAAAGACATACATGAAGATTTCCTGTTGTGTTTTTGTCAGATTGTCAATGAGCCACCGCCTCTATGGGAGGTGCCGTCCAACTGCAACAACTTCACGGCCAAAGTGTTCAGGGCTGGACTCCAGAAAGACTCCGACAGACGAACATCTGCCAAAGAACTCCGGAGGAAAACCACCAAGGCCCTTAGAGCAGGTCAATGTGATACATATTCCAGAATCATTGTTATATTTTATATAATGAAACATTGTCTATAGAACAGATTTTTTAATCAAAGATTAAGTGCTCTACATTATCAAAACATTATCAAGCAATACAAAGGACTCAAAAACATAAAACTAGATCAGAAAACCGTTTACGAAACAGTTTAGTGCAAACCAAACATGGCAACAATAAAAAAAACAAAGATAAACAGGATTAAAACACAGTGCTAAATGATTACTTGATTTAAAAAAAAAGCTTAATTTACTCGGTGAAGGCTATGTTACAGCTCAGTGAAGTAGCCTAGGTATCTGGCTATGCAATAGAGTGGTGCAGTGACGAGTCCTAAAACCCGGAAGTGAGTTAGGATTTTACCACTACGGGTACCCTCGTCTCAGAGTCAATGGGATTTCTCCATAGGATTTTGGAAAATAGCTCGAAATAAGGTCTGTGGTTGACACAAATTTAAGAGACAGATCACGTTTTGTTCTACGACATTAAATACATCAGCAGTGACTCCACTGGTGATTTTTGAAGAGTTTACGTGTCTAGAAACGATGGTTGTTAACAAGTGGCTGAATAGGACTACATAAATTGTCGAGGACGTTGTACGTCTTAACGTCGAACACGTAAACACTCCCGCTGAGTTTGTTTGCCCCTGTTCTGCTTGAAAGCAAGTACCTGCGCTCAGGGCTGCCCCTGGCCAACTTGTGGCCCCACGCAAAGTTATGTGATGAGGCCCTCTGTGTCGCGAGCGTCGGCGGCGGCGGGGGGGGGGGGGCTAGTGGAGCACGCGCTAATTGCACCGCATAAGCGCATAAAGTTGCGCCGCATTAGCGCTTCGGATGAGGCTCCCTCCGCAAAATGAGGCACCCTCCGCAAGATGAGGTCCCCTCCACGAGGTGAGGCCCCACGCAGTCTGCGTGATCTGCGTGTAGGGAGGGGCGGGCCTGCCTGCGCTCTTGCAAACTGTTAAAACAAACGCTTCAACTTGTACAATTTTGAATCTGTATTTTTGAATATCGATCTTAAGTTGGCGTGACGTTGAAGTCGTGCGACCCTGCTGTACTCGGCTCTAGTTCGTTTATAGCATAACGTTAGATTAGATTTATGATTCGAAAATTATAAAAGTAGGGTAGACATGTGGACATTATCCGGCTGAACAAAACGTGCATTTATCAAACAGATTCGTTTTGCATAGACCTTATTTCGAGCTATTTTCCAAAATCCTATGGAGAAATCCCATTGCTTTTTTGTCGAGGGAACCCATGCGCAGTTTATTTCCGGGTCGGCCTACACAAATACGTCATCCCTGCACCATTCTATGCTTTAAACGTTAGTAGTAAATTATAAAAGTAAAGGTAAAAAGGGCATTAATAAAAGCACATAAAAAATAAACGCATGGAAGATGTTTTAACATAAACAAAGTGAAAAGACGGACTGCACACGCATAGTAACATGGTGATTAAAATATTGCTAAATTTAGAATCTTTTAAATACACTGTCAGAAATATGCTGCATATAAACATATAAAAGTCTGAATGATTTATTAAACAAGTATAGCCGGGCGTCGTCAGCATTAAAATGAAAGGAGAACCCATGGCAGGGAATAATATCCTCAGGAGGGAGCAAGTATAGGGAAATTAAATAGGACCCAGGATGGAGCCTTGAGGCACCTCAGACATAGTGTTCTTGATGGGATTGTCAGAAAAACACAGATATTTGTATTTATTAAGTAGGAAAACAATGTGTCAACCCTCAAATTTGATCATCTTCAGTACCTTATTATTGTTGTGAAAGGATCTGCGTCACTGACCACTCTGAATGTGTTCAACAGTTGGGGGTTTGAGTCCCTGGTCTGTCAAAATTGCCTGTGAGAAGCTTCATCATAGCAAGAGCCAGAATGAAGACACCCCCTGTTCTTTGTCACCTGATGTCAACCCAACTAAAGCATCAGATACCATGTACTGGGTGAGCCCCTGGAGGACTACAGCAGTGGACGAGGACAGCAATGACTGGAGAGATGGTGTCTCAGATCAAGACTCTGAAGCAGAGACATATTCCTTAATTAGGGAGTGGGAATCCCGGCCAAAATCACTTCAAGATGATTACACCGCAGATGTAGGAGACTGGAACAGCTTTTCTGACTCAGAGGTCGATATATACATGGCAGAGGAGGAATATGTTCAGGAGAAGTGGCTGAGAAGTGACAGGGACTATGAGGGGGATTGGGAAGAGGAAGGAGATGAAGAGGAGGAGAAGGATGAGGACGAAGATGAGTGGGAATCTTCCAAGTCAGAGTATCTCCGTGCTCTTCGGGGCATTTTCCCTTTGCTGCAAAAAGGCCAACAGACAAATGACAATTCATGGGGATCAGAGCCAGAGCTGGAATACCTCCGAGACGGTGAGTCAGAAAAACTCTGTGTCATGAGGACAGCCTAAGAGGGGTAGTAATACACTCTGCATTTTTGTTAGAATACTGCATCTCACAGTGATTACAGAGATTTTCCTCTCTGTTGCATATTTAAAGGAACACAGAGTTTTTTTTCCCAGGCTGTCTTAAGGAGGAAGTCTACCAACTTGAATCATCAGAAAAACTGTTGCAATAAATCAAATGTTGAAAAAGACTCAGTTGCACCAGAGAGAGCTGTGTGAAACATTAGAAAATTGCCTCAAGTGATGTCACATGAGTCGTCCGGAAGTGTGCTACAGTATTAGCAAGCTCAGGTCTGTGTTGCCTGCTGCTCATACCTGCTGAAGGCTATGAGGCTCCAGGCTACATTAGCTGCTCCTAGCGTGATGAAATTGCATTGTGTGGAATGCAGGCACAAGGTTTACACAAGGAAAAAGTATGCTTGTACAAAAGAATGATATCTCTGGTTTAGCCCCTTTTAAAAGTTTTCTTTCCTTTTTTAAAGCCTGCAGATTAGTCCAATATACTTTTGCAATACATTAGTCAAAAGCCATATTAATGCTGAATGAGTATTTTGTTGTTGTATTTGTTACTCCAGTCCAAACTATCAAGCCATTATTTAAGTTGCATCAGGTGTGAAAGCTCATTTAAATTGAGTTTATTTTGCAAGGAGTTACACAGAAGGTGTCCATCCAAATTATTTTCTGAAAAGGCTTCTTGCAAACACGCACCTTGAGTTACTGAGCCAGACATTCTGAGAGTTAATTAAGGCAATATTTCATATCCTGATTTCTTGTTAAAGCACTTGAATCTGAGAACAAAACACTGCTGTTGTCCTTTAGTTTGAAGGAAGGCAAGCTGTTAACAGAAACTGCTGATATGTTATCTATGACTAGATGTAGCTATCGGCACAACAATCCAGACCCCATCCCCCGAACCTCGAGATGACCCTCCTTCCTGTTTCAGCTGCTCGGACACATCACCGATGGATGCCTCAGAGAAGGTGTGTGTCTTTGGTTGAAAGCACACAGATGTGTATGTTCATGTGTGATTGCTGTTGTAAAAGAAAGTTCCCTTTGTGTTAAGGACTCTGACCATTCGTCTGATGATCTGAGCTCTGGAGTCTTTTCCTCCTGCAACAGTCAGACAGATGGACATTTGGAGTGGTTGGCCTCAGACAATCAGCCCTCCTCCTGCTGCTTCGAGGGTAAGATGGCCGGGCTCTTGTAATAACTTTAATGCTGGTTGATTTTTTCATTTTTGTTTTTCATTGATATTCTCTTCTCTGACGCTCCAGGTGTTGACATCTGGATCGAGAACGTCCAGGGCGAGTGTCTGCGGATCCGTGAGCGTCGGCAGGTCAAAGTGGGACATGTTGCTATAGGAATAAGCGACCAGGTAAGAGATAGTAGGTTGTTTTAAAGGGGCCCTATTATACTTTTTGGTACCTAAGTACCTCAAAATTGTAGTTATATTAACATTATAATTGAACAAACTTAAAAAAAGCAAAAGTCTTCAGATGTTAAATGTTGGCTGAAACCATTAAATGATGGGCAAGTTTGAGTTGCCAGTTGAAGTTTGATACCCACCCAACCGAAATCCACATGAATGATCTCATCTATCATTACCAGATCTCAGGGAAAGCCTTCACACTGGAGACCCTGGACAGGAAGACGGTGTCCTTTGAACAGGAGATCAGAGAGTCCTGTCTGTGGCTGCGCTGCGTTCCTGCTCCTGACAGGTGTCAGCGCTGGAGGTGGAGGGTCAGAGACGGGAAGCTGGAACTTCGAGAATGAGATTTTAGTTATTTCCTTGTTGTCATTTACAATACTTTATGAATAGATTGTTCTAAAGACGTCAGGATGTAAACATGTGTACTAAAGAAGTTGTGCTACTGTTATGACTGAAGAATTTCCTGGATGAAATAGCCTGTGCGTATTTGTAGGAATTATATGAATTTCATCAATAAGATGTGACTTTAAAGATGCCTTTCTATTTTTAAAGATGTTCTTTTTTTATATTCTTAAATTGCCTTACTTTTATTTGCTGGCAAAAGAGATCAATATTTAAGTATGCTTCTTAGCGTCATCTCTGATCTGGAAACTAGAGTATGTCATGTTTGTTGGTGCTTTTTAACTGCCGTTTAGGAGTAAAGGTGCTTAAAACAATGATTAACCTTCATATTACAATATAAGCTCTCAAGACATTAATCCTTGAAGGTTACTGACACTTTATATAGTAATAAAACATGACATCAGAGGCAAAGAAGTTCTGTCTTCTGCTTGTTTTAAAGTTATGTTTCCTTTCATTCATAATGTGGTCAATGCAGCTTCAGTAGAAGAAGGGATACACTCAACACACACTCGCTGCTGGAATGCTCTCTTGCGACCATAGACTTAGACTGGAGCTGTAGCCTATAGAACATTTACAACACTAATAAAACAACTTGCACAAAGAAAGTTGATGTGACTGCATGACATGTAAAACAGGGTTTCACACGTGATCAGATCACATGACTTGGCCTCAAGACTTTTCCTCTCAATACAAACTACACAAAATAGGATTTATGACAATGCTCCAGCAAGTGATGTCACCGAGGTCATGTATGGGAATTTTGTTACCTTTTTAGGAAACAGGGTGTTTTTTTTACAATTAAAACATTTTGGTGGATATTTTATAGCCGATTTCCTTATTGTGTTAAACTACATTTAGTTTGTTCTATATTTTGGTCTCTCAAACTGTCTATACATACATGTAGATTGGTATTTCAACCAAATTAAGAATTGTAGTTTTGGAAATGCATTATTATTTATATGGTAGATAAAATACCTATGATTCAAAAATAATTTTCCAAATTAAGAATTTGAATTGTTGGTGTCTGCCACAAAATGTGTTGTGGTGGAGGATTTGGCCAGTATTTGTTAAAATTCTGGTTGATTTCCTGTCAAATAAGGTATGATGTTTGAGGAATGTAGAGCTAACAGGGTCACTGAAGCAGCTCCTCCTATAGTAAATATTTAAACATGGCCTACCACCTTTTGACAGGCCTTACTGAAAAGTGTTACTCTTATTTCCTTCTTTTTGGCCTAACAAATAGCATTTATCTTTCCAGCAGGATACTTCATGTGAGGATAAGAATGGCTGTTCCTTCTGGCCTGAATAAACTAATAGTGCTCCGGGGCTTGAGGCCACCTGGTTAGAATAGAAAGGGATCTTTGTTGACTTTCAGCAGGTGTCCAGTAGCTCAGAAATTACACATGTCAACACAAAGGTTAATAGAAGACTGGTTCTGCCTTGAAACTGCTGCTTGAACAAAGGAAGAGGAAAGTGCATTAAACATGTACAAAATAAATGTCACATTTTAGTAAAGTCAGGTCTATTTTTCTTCTAGTTTAAATCACAAACAGTCCTTAAGTCTGTACAGTTTACCACACCTTCTGTCCTTCAAAACTAGATTTGGATAAGGGAAAAAAACAACAACAGGGAAGAAGGGAAGAAACCTGAGTAAGAGAACCTGAAGGATCCTGTTCTCTGGGATGATGTAATTAATGTGAAAGTACTAACTCCCAACAGTGTAAATACTCCACTTTGAGTAAAAATCTTCATATTCAAACATGACTTTTCCTCAATAAACATAAGTTTATGAAGAAAGTGTACTTAAAGTAAAAAAAAGTATTGATTGTGCAGTAAAATGTTCCCTGTCAGTGTTTCACACTTATATTCAATTTTTTTTAAATTAATATTACTGCTGTATTAATGTGAGTGTGTTTTTTAAATATTTGTGTTATGAGGGTTGTGGCGAGTCAAATGTAAAAAAATGCATTATATTCCATAAGAAGTACATTTTTCCCAAGCTCAGACGAACAGCCCTGTTTTAAGCTTTTTGCCCATGCATTTTCCAGCTAACCGAACACAACACAAGACATAAAGAAACATTTAATCTTTCAGGTTACCATAAAAATATAAACAACACATCTGGAGATACATGGTTTTCAATGGACAGAGAGGGGATAACAAATTGTAATTGTAATTCGGAAAGTTACTTAAGATGTCTTTATGGAGCTAGCTTTGTGCAGGGATACATTGTCATGTTGAAACAGGAAAGACGCAAACACAGTCTCTTGCCACACAGTTGGAAACACACCATTGTCTATTGTATTATTGAACTAGGCTCAGGTCCAAGCCATGATCTGTAGTCTATGACCTGCATTATGATTTAAACTTACATATCACTAAAGCTTCGTGTCTGTCTCTTGCATGCTTGCAATGCTATTAGTGTGACAAAAAACTATCCCAGGACATACACACAGACTCAAAAGGTGAAAAGAATACCAGCGTCAATGGCAGGTAATAATAATGCTTGTATGCTCCCTTTGATTTGGACCAAAACAAGAATGTACTGGGTTACTTATTGAACGATGCTACACCCTTCCACCAAGTTTCACAAAAATCGGGACAGTAGTGTTTGCCTAATCCTGCTGACGATCAGAAAAACAAAGGGCACTCCGAGAGTATTAAATTGTAAATGTTTAATTAGTTCTTCCTGCTACTCCATTTACGCAAGATTCACGAAAACATCCTTGGAAAAGGTAATAAGGATGTATTCTGGATGGAAACCAACATACAGTAGCTCATTGTTAATTATTGATGGTGACAATTGTCAATTAGCAGCACATTTTAGAGGATTTAACCTATAAAGCATCAGTATATGTTTTATATTCCTGAATTTGTTTCTTGTTTCCTGTAGCTGCATGAATCCCCTTGTAGCCCTGTGTGGAATGTTTTTTATGGATGTAGCATGAGTTAAACCCATACCAAATGTCCTACAATGTGGGACAATAAAGTCAATCCTTATCCTTGTTATTCACTTTGTCTGAAACTTGAATAAACTTGTGTGCGGTTCACTTCCTCGACATTTTGTGCAATGTGCACACAGGGATCTGTCGACGCTGTGATTGGCCAAAAGGACAACAGAGGGCGGGTTATTAGTTACACCATTTGCACTGTGATTGGAGCAGGTTTTATACTGGGAAGTGCCTGTACGCCGGTGTCTCCCTGGTTGCGCAAGACGCCATTTTGAAGTGACAGTGAAGATAACGGAAAGATCGAGAAGCTGTCTTTCTAAAGGTAATAACCCACACTTACGCGCTGATTTTGTGCTTTAAAATGATACATTGTGTGAACTAAACGTTTCTCTGTACGGAAGACTATTTTTCTCCCGCGTTAAACACGACGTCATGGTTTTCTCTCTTTACTGTGACGCGGCATTTAGCTAACTGTAGCTAACGTTAGCCTTCTTGCTAAAGGCAGTTCCTGTAACGTTAACCGTCGGATCAAAGAGCTGTCACTGTCAGTTTAACAAAATACTTGACCTAAATTTCACCGGCCAATTTTTCAAAGCATGTCGAGGTTAAATATGTTGACAATCCGTCACCGAATTATTTAAACGGTGGAGCTCTTTCGACCGTTCCCGTCCGAAAAATGGTGTCGCTCCCGCTAGCACCAAGCTAACATAAGCTAGCAAGCTAACAAGCCGAAGCATCCGCCCTTAGTAATGATAACGGTGAACTGATTCGAGTTTTAGAAACCAGATTATGCCATCCAACTCCGGTTATTAACATATCTAAGATATTAAAAGAGTCCCCACACCATAACTCGCACATTTCATCCGCATTGACACGAACGTAGTTGGATCGTAGGCCTTTAGGTCGAGGTGTTGTTAGCCAGCTAGCGTCTTGTGACGGCTTTCACATACAGTAACATTATCCCTGCTGCTAGTGCACATAGGGAGGGATAGAGGTGACCAGCTGGAACAGGCCTCTCTTATCTGGTGATCAGCTAGCCATTCAATTTATCCGGGATAACCATCTAGCTGCTTTTGCTAGTTTTTTTTTAATCGTATTATGATCACGATTGCTGTATAAATCACACGACGTCGTGAAAATAATGCAGAGAAACGTCAAATATTGTTTGATGTTGACGGCTTGAGCTGGCTGTTAACGTCAACCATACATTAACGTTTAACCATTAGCTTAAGCAAACATTTCACTTTAGTTCCCACCGTGTTATATTTATTTTGCCACCTTCAGGGTCGGCGACAATTGACTTTTTTACTTGGCCAAATATACTGCTGCCATCGATCTGCAGTGCTGGAAGTGGATATTTTACTAGAAAAAGTGACTAAACAAAAGTGTAAAAATACTCTGTTAGAAGTGGATAAAAAGTCCATTCAAAAGTAAAAGCTCATCATGTACATTATGTACCAAACATTCATTCTGCAGAATGGCTTATTTGGGAATTATGCATTAGCTGGATTTTAATCACTTTTAAAATCTCATTTTTTTAAATTGTAAACTGTCAAACAATACCACCATTTTACCAGTTTACCACCAGTATACAGTCTCAATTATCTTGTTGGTACAGTTTTGGTTCCTCCTTTCCTTTTGGCATATACTACACTGAAACTAAAACACTGCAAGTGTTTCTCTCCTAACCCTGTTTCCTTCTCTACTTTGACAGCTTCGTCACCATGGGGAATGTATTTACAAGCTTATTCAAAGGCCTGTTTGGCAAAAAAGAAATGAGGATTCTTATGGTTGGGCTTGATGCTGCTGGAAAAACAACCATCCTTTATAAACTGAAGCTTGGAGAGATAGTCACCACCATTCCCACCATTGGTATGGATATTTTCAATTGTATTAATCAATGTTGCTCACATTTAAAATGTATTTTTTTGTGTGGGTTTATTTTCAAATGTTGTGGTGTATAGTTCTGTGTATTTCCTTTTTATATTATTCATACTTGTGTCAATACAAGTTGTGGACTGATACCTTAATTTCACTCTTTGCCCAGTTTTTTACATTTAACAAAAATGTTTTCTTAACACAATCTGCTTTACTAGAAAGATTCCCAAATGGAATACAGTAAACATTAGAATAATCACAAACTGTCTTGTAAAAAGACTTTTGATGCCAGCTTTCCAAACCTGAAATAATTGTTTTGGATTTGAGCTTTTTAATATCAGACATGACGACTATTAGCATTGAAAGCTGAAATGTACACAAATGTTTCGATCATTTACATGTGGCTCATCCATGTTTCTCCTTTTCTGTCCAGGTTTTAATGTTGAAACTGTAGAATACAAGAACATCAGCTTCACAGTGTGGGATGTGGGCGGTCAGGACAAAATCAGGCCGCTGTGGCGCCACTACTTCCAGAACACTCAAGGTGAGGGGGACTTTATATTAGCATGCAGTACTGTCAGGGAACATAACTGCCTATAGGTGGCCTCATTGGTGCATAAAAAAGATGATCTTAACAATTATTCAACCAGTGATTCATACGCTATTGTCCAATCACAAAAGGCTTATCGTGTGACTCCTCTACTATTTCCTCGAATTTAATTAATCAGAATATGCAAAGACACTGTGGAGTGTCTCCTACTAATGATGCAACATGCATGTACATTCTCAACTGGACTGGTAGTTTGTTATAGATTTGAAAATAAGTGGTTTCTTTCAGAAATATTTTTTGATTTCAGCCCTTGGTACTGCTTTAGCTTTTCCCCGTTTTCCTTGAATGCACCAAACATCACCATCCGCATACTGAGCATCGGAGTGTGAAATTGAACGTGTGAATCCCGGTGGTAATGAAAGTTAAATACAGCATCATTAATCA